AATACACTCTGAAAAACAAAAATTCCTACAAAACCAAGTGAACCTACCACCAGCACAACAAAACACACACACACACACACACACATACACACACGCTCACACATGCTCATACGAGCATGAACATGTGTACACAAGAACAATGCACTCAGCCAGGCAGTGATGGCACATGCCTTTATTCCCAGCACTTGGGAGGCTGAGGCAGGCGGATTTCTGAGTTCAAGGCCAGCTTGGTCTACAGAGTGAGTTCCAGGATAGCCAGGGCTACACAGAGAAACCCTGTCTTGAAAAACAAAACAAAAACAACAACAAAAAAAAGAATAATGCACTCAAAATTTCTCTTTCAGAATGAATAACCTTGTTCTAACTGGGGAATGTGTTGAACTTTATAATGGCTGATCTATTGTAGTCTTGCCCTTTAATCCAGGGCAAGGTCCTCCCTAGAGAGCCTAGAGTCTTTTACTTCAGGGTGTTGCCTTTCTGAGGCCTCAACTGAGAAGTGTTTACCCAAGGTTACTTTATCTCACCATGGTTTAAACCCTAAGGTCAATCTACTTCTTTGGCCCTTTAAAGCTGCTCCATTCAGTGTATTACTCAGCCCCCTACTATTGTTTTCTGGGGCATTGGGAACCTTACTCTACACCTGCAGCCTTAAAAGTCAGCCTGTGACTTAGGGGGAAATGTGCTCAGAGATTTTTAGCTCTTTTCTGTGATTTTTCTTCACTTGAAAATTATAGTTTGTTTGTTTGGAGTTTTTTTGTGTGTGGGGGGGGAGTGGGAGAAGTGTGTTTCTTTTGTTTGTTTTAGTTTGTTTTGTTTGTTGTTTTGCAACAATCTGGAAGAAGTGAAGATATTCTAGAGAGACATTCTATGTCCCTTCCTTAAGGCGGCAGACTTTTTAAACAATGGCCCCTAACAAATTGCTATTTCCTCAGGAATCTCAGACTGGGAGAGCGCAAGGCTAGAGGGGATACTTGGGGGGAGGGCACATTCATACAATTCTGACAACTTATCCCACCACCTTGCAAGAGTGTGAAGCCAAGGTAACAGTGGAGGGTAAGGGCAGGACCACACCCTAACCCCTTGATTGGGATTACTTAGCTATGCATAAGTCTTGCACATTATGTAAACATAAACCTCATACCCCCCCCCCCCAGAAAGATGGATGTGGGGCATCACTGAACTCATTAATTCTTCTTCCCAAGGTGGCCACATTGAACACATCCCCTGAAAGCTTTTCTTTATCACTACTGAGCTTAATTGGTATCCTGAGGACAGGTGGCCAAGCCTAGCTTGTCTTTGTGGTTTTGGTTTAGAGATTGGGTCTTCTTAAGCTTGTGGCAAACAGTCTCTTACTCCTGAATGCTGAGATTTAGAGGCACATATCACAGTGCCTGGCTCTTTCCAGTGTTTTGGTCCTTAAGTATCAGGTATTGGGGGAGGGAGGCTCTGAACTTCCTGTGTGTTTTTAGCTCAACAAAAATACTATTTTCTATTATGGGCTGTCTTCTGATGAACTATCACAATGTTGAGGATCCACTCAAAAGGTACATTCTTTAGACTTACAACTCTTCATTACCCAACTGAAGCTATTGCTTTCTTAAACTTTCTTGGGGCCTGTAAGAGCTGAACGCTGTCCAGTTCTCTGGGTTTCCCATCTCTCCTGCTCCTCATTACAGACACGGAGGTCTTGTTATGTTGTCTAGCCTGGCTTTGAATCTCTAGTCATCCTCCCTTAGCTGGGACTCGTGCCTTCAAACCTAGTTCTTCCTTATAGATGCTAATTTCCATCTCCTCAGGGTCTTGAACTTAGTTTAATTTTGTTTTGTTTGTTTGTCTTCTCTTTTGGTTTTTCAAGACAAGGTTTTTCCATGTAGCCCTGGCTGTCTAGGAACTCTCTCTGTAGATCAGGCTGGCCTCATACTCAGAAATCTGCCTCCTCAGTGCCGGAATTCAAGGTTTAATTGTGTGTACTACCATGCCCCATGATCTTACATCTTTAAAAAGTCCACTTGTTTATCCCTCACATATGCCAGACCTTAAACAATGCCTAGCATATTTTAAAAATGTTCATCAGCAGGTGTGCGGGTTAGTTTGCAACCACAATACTAGGGAGGTCAAGGCAAGAATATCTGGAGACCAAGGCCAGTTTGGGCCAGCCTGCTCTGTGTATTGAGGCCTTTGTTTCAAAACCGAAGACAAACAAAAATGGTCAACAGATTCCTACTAAATAAATACATTAGTGAAGCAGGGATCTTAACACAGTACAATGAATAAAAATAACTCCTAGCTCTGATAGAGGTCGTGTATTTTATTACGTCTAGAGGCTAAACCCAGGACATGCTGGGCATATGCTAGAAAATTGACCTACATGCCTAGGTTCGTTCTCTGTGTGTGTGTGTGCGCGCGCGCGCGCGTGTGCGTGTGCATGTGCTGACAGGTAGTGTTTCTCTTCCTGTCTCTGTTCCTCTCTCCCAAGTTCCCAAGTGCTGGAATTCCTGGCATGAGCAACCATGCCTGGCCTGACGTAGTGTATCTTATATTGAAAAGTCAATGAGGCTGGAAGACTTGAGTGAAACCAACCATTTCATTACTGTTGTGAGGCTATGCCTTCTGTAAGGTCTGGATCTGTGGGGCACAGCCTAAGCTGGCTAGGTTCCCAGATTTCTCAGTATCTTGTTTCTTGGTCACTGAGACTTCAAGATAGATTTATCGTCACCCCTATCACTAGAGACCATCTGTGGCATGGTGTAGGATTTGCTCAGTGCAAGATGAGAGACAGACAACTGCTGCCGTCTCAGAGCAGACTGTCCACTGCGAGCCTTAGACTGGCTTAAAAATAATCTGAGCACTTAGTGACCTCATGGGCTTGAGGCAGTGTGGTTATGTTTGACTTATCTATACCTTGCTAATACTATGGACTGTGTATATTTAGTCTACCCTGAGCTACTTTAGTCCAAGACTAAGTTTAACAGAAGTCTCAAGATAACTTTGTGGTAGTAACAAGGGCAAGTGCTGGTGGAAATGCCAACATACTTCTATTCTTAGAGATAGAGGCCAGGGCCAACCACAGTGGGCAGTTGGAACCTACAGACTCTTCTGTCTCAGGGGTTTCCTTTCCTGGTGGCTAAACCCCTATTTAACTCTTCTGGTTCCAGTCTCGTCTCAACTGTCCATCTATGGTTTCGGAACAGCAGAAGCTGTGGTTTTATGTTTGCTTTGGATTTTGAGGCAGGGTCTCACTATGTATGTAGCCCTGGCAGGCCTGACACTTGCTATTTATACCAAGCTGGTATCAAATTCACAGAGATCTGTCTGCTTCAGCTTCCTGAATGCTGGGATTAAAGTCATGCTCCACCACATTTTTTTGTTTTGTTTGCTTTAAAAACATCATATTGGCCGGATTGGTGGTGGTGCATGGCAGAGACAGAGGTTGGCTAATCTTGGTAAGTTCTTCGAGGCCAGCCTGGTTTATAGAGTGAATTCCAGAGAAGCCAGGGCTACACGGTGGTAAAATGCTATTTTGAAAAACAAAACAAAGAAAGGAAGAAAGGAAGGAAGGAAGGAAGGAAGGAAGGAAGGAAGGAAAAAATATTTATTTTTGTGTATGAGTGTTTTGCCTGCATAACTGTTTGTTTACCTTGTGCTTGCAGTGCCCAGAGAAATCAAAAGAGGGCAGTGGAGCCTCTGGAATTGCAGTTACTGATGTTTCTTAGTTTCCATGTGGGTGCTGGGGATTGGAACTCAGCTCCTCTGGAAGAGCTATCTTTCCCAGCTCTCCTTTCTTTTGTTAAGCTGTATTTTTAACTACAGTATGGTCAGTAAATGCTACCAGTAGAGATTTTTATGTCTCAAGTTGTCTTCATTTACCACCAACATGCTGAATTGCGAGAATGGGATAGAAGTGTCCCCAAGTGGTGAGAAGACTCAAGGGTTCTTGTTGGAATCCAGTCTGCAGAATGGCAGAGTTCATCCCGGGCAGTTCATTTAATCTCTCAGTACAGAACCATTAATATCTCCCCTCCATACAAAGTTTTCCTCAATTGAATTAGAACCTAACCTTTGTGATGCTGGCTTAGTTGACACCTTCTGTGAGGCCAAGCGTGATGCTCTCAACCCAAGGAGCATCACGGATGCTCAATCCAAGGAGGAGGAGTCACTCGTGTGTAGAAAAGCAATGTTGAAGATGCTCCATACAGGTCAGCAATAAAATTTGCTGACACTGGCTGGACCTGTGACTCACAGGGGGCCGGGGAATAGACAGGGGCAGGTGGGTCTCTGAGTTGGAGAGCAGCCTGGTCTATCTACTTAGAGCGTTTCAGGTCAGTAGAGGCGCAACAGTAAGACTTCGTTTCAAAAACAGAAGTAAAGGGAGAATCTAAGTCCCGGTCTTAAATAAGACATCCATGCAAAGCCCCTCGATGTTAAATAGTATTGACTCTAATTTTTGGGACTTCATGTTATAGGCCGGGTATTTCCCTTCATTCTGTTACTTTTTTTTTTTCTTTCTTGAAACAGTCCTACACTGGCCTCAAACTTCCTGCCTTCACCTCCTGAAAACTAGTATCACGGGCATATGCCACCACATCCAGGTTATGATTTGCAGGGGCTCAAACCCATGCCTTTGTTCACTCTACACCTCCGCCAGCCTTTTCCTTGTTTTTATTCTAAATGTTCACAGTTTTACTTTACATGTGAGCGATCACCTTGAAAGCCCAAGAGCAAGGATTATAACTTATGTACAATTGAACATTCATTCAAATGCCGCTTGGTTCTCTAGGTAAGAAATACAGATTAGACACAAAATGAGGCTCTCAGATACCAGAATACACTCGGTCTTGAAGTTCATCTATACGCACAAAGTTTTTAACCCTTCCCTCCCCGCTCCCCCAGCCGTGAGTCACTGAACCGGCGAAATATTCCACCGGCCATCTTAGTTGTGTCAGCCCAAATTCGTTTCTCTTTTCTTTTTCTATTCCATGGCGATTTTACTAGATACTTACTAGATTTATGCCATGATACCCCTACCCAGGTTTTCTCAGTTCCTCCGGGACGGATATCCACTTTCCCGCCAGCTAGATCCAGGGCGTGGGCCCTTCACAGCGCATCCTCCGTTTTTCACTCCGCCGTGGACTCCCGGGTCTACCGCCCGCTGGGGAGGAGCCACGCCAGCCCACGCCTGCGGCTCCGCCCCCTCATTTAAATACACGTCGCCGGCGGGTGCGTCGAGCTCGCCGCGAACCCAAGATGGCGGTGTGTGGACGTGTACGGGGGATGTTCCGCTTGTCGGCGGCGTTGCAGCTGCTGCTGCTAGCGACAGCAGGGGCCCAGAATAACCACGGTCAGGGCCAGGGTCCGGGGGGCAACTTTGGGTCCTTTCCAGGGCAAGCTAGAGACGGCAACCCGGCCGGGCAGCAGCCGCCTCAGCAGCCTCAGTTATCGCAGCAGCAGCAGCAGCCGCCGCCTCAGCAGCAGCAGTCTCTTTTCCCGGCGGGCGGGCTCCCGGCCCGGCGGGGCGGAGCGGGGCCCGGTGGGACTGGCGGAGGCTGGAAGCTGGCGGAGGAAGAGTCTTGCAGGGAGGACGTGACCCGTGTGTGCCCCAAACACACCTGGAGCAACAACCTGGCGGTGCTCGAGTGCCTGCAGGACGTGAGGGAGGTGAGAAGGTGGGACGGGCCTGGGAGGAGGGCCGAGCCTGGTGCGGGCCGGAGGGTGTCGCCGGCCTGGAAGCCGCGGATGCCGGGCTGCTGCGTCCCTCGCTCTTTTCCTTCAGGGCTGTGCTCGCGCCTTTCTCTTTCCTGCCCCTCACTCCCGGGTGCATTCGGGCAAGCGGATCCCACCCCAATCCTTCCTTCCCCGGTCCCCTATTTCGCTCCCCGTCGCGGTGTTCTGGGATCAGGACCTCGGCTCACGGCCTCAGTAGGCGAAGGCCTAAGGAGCGTGTTTCTGTTTGCGCTCCTGTCTTTTGTGTGATGCTCTATGCAGAGTGGTTCCTCGCCGAAAACCAGTTTAGGATTTTTTGCTATCGGTTTCGACCTCGACAGTTTGTAGCAATGGATTTCAACGTGAAAAATGATCGGTATATTTAAACTGTTAAAGATCGATCTGCTGTTTATTTAACAGTAGACACTTGGTGAGGTGGGAACCTGGGTTCTCTTCTGGTGTGAACGTAGTCAAGAGCCGAATTTACTGTTTCTACCACATTCTTTTGTAATTGATAAGTCCTTACTATTTACCTGGTGCTGAAACTAGTTATGCTTTTTTTTTTTTTTGTCTTCACTTCCTGTGGTCAGTTTGTAAAGGACCTCATTTTTAGGCTATTTCTTCGTGTCACTTGGTACCCTAAAGCCTGAGAAAGTTGCAGGCAGCATTTGATGCTATAATAAATATACAGTGTTTATGGTCTGTAGTGGGGTCTTTCCGAAGTCTTAAGATAGTTGTTTGTTTTTGAGAGAGGATCTGTTTGTAGCCCAGGCTGTCCACCTACAGGAGGCATCCTTCTGCTTCTGGCTGAAACACTTCACCTAGTTTGAAATAATTTTAACAGTACCTCTTAGTTCTAGAGCTGATATTACTTGGTGTGCTTCAGTTAAAAGATATTGACAACTTCTTTTCTATGTTTGGTGCTGCAGATGTGAGGACATATTGGTAGAAATATTTGTTTTCAAAGGTTTAGATAAACAAAATTAGTCCCAAAGGTTGGCAAGTAGAAAACTGCTATTTGGCCATTTCATTTAGAATAGTGTATCTTCAGAATTGTTCAAGGCCATGAGGTGACCACTGGTTTGTAGACATTTGCTAGTCGTGTTTTAGTGTTATAAAAAAGGTAAGGCCCATTTTTATGGCATATCCTGTTAATCCTGGAACTTGAGAGGAAGAGGCTGGCAGATCTCTTTCTGAGTTTGAGACCAGTCTAGTCTAAGTAGAAAGTTCCAGACCAGCCAGGGCAACAAGACTTTAAAAAAAAAAAAAAAAAGTCAGAAGAGGAAAAGATATACAAAATCAAGAGCCAGAAAGTTTCCAGAGCCACCAGAACTGTGGAACCTTACATGGGTCTCATGTATAGCTTTGAAGATTGGAAAGTAGATAGCCAGTAGTCTTAGCTGTTAAACTTTTTGGGATTTTCTATTTGATTTTTGAGGATACTTATTAGATGTTGTTTCCCTAAGGTGAGATCATAGTATCTGTTAGTAAATACATTGTTACTGTATTGTTGTAGAAAAAGGATATTAGGGGCAAGCGGCAAAAAAAAAAAAAAAAAAAAAAAGTTCCTGCTGATGGAGTCCCTAAAGCTGTGTACATTATGAATACCTATATACCTTCCCTTATAGGAGCACTGAATGGTCTCTGTCATGCCTGTGTAGAGGCACTCTCCATCTATAAAGAACAAACTTGTCTAATTTTGGAGTCTTCAGTTGTACCATTTTTTCCCCTTAGACTAGTTTGCATAGAGAAAAGTACACTCATCTGAAAATGTAGTCACTGGTCTACCATTGGTCTCAAAATTCCCAGTTCCCAGCAAGGATATTTCAGTAAACTCATTTTCTTTTGTCACAATCATATATAAACTCTGATGGTTGGTAGCTATGTTTATATTTTCTTTGTGATGTTCTAGAGTACCTAGTTCAGTGCTGGAACTCCAAGAATATTGTTAGCTGCTTGAGGATGAGTGAATCGATGGGTGTGCGTTTATATTCCAGAGGAGGGGAGTGCCATGTAAATCGGAGACCCACTATTGGAAGGAAGGAGCCGAATATTCAGTATAATGATGGGTCTCACTTGCTGAGCAGAGCAATGCTCCATGAATCTAAGACCTCCCTCATCCTGAAAGTTCACTTTTTGTTTTGTTTTTGTTTTTCAAGATAGGATTTCTCTGTGTAGCCCTAGCTTTCTTGTAGTTTGGCCTCAAATTCAAGAGATCTGCCTGCCTCTGCTTCTCAAGTTCTGGGAATAAAGGCATGCTGCCTGACACACATACACTTAACCTCTCTCTCTCTCTCTCTCTCTCTCTCTCTCTCTCTCTCTCTGTGTGTCTCTGTAAAATGGTAGGACCATTTTGGTTTACATGGCAATCAAAATATACTCAAAATGTACACATCCTTTGATGTAACAGTCCCTAATCTCTTTCCTCTCTGTCTGTCTCTCTGTCTGTCTCTCTTTCTCTCTCTGTCTGCCTCTCTCTCTGTCTCTCTCTCTCTGTCTGTCTCTGTCTCTCTCTCTCTGTCTCTCTCTCTCTCTCTCTCTGTCTCTCTCTCTGTGTGTGTGTGTGTGTGTGTGTGTGTGTGTGTTTCTCTCAAAACAAGGTCTCCACAGGTCTCACTCTGTAGCCCTGGAATTCTATGTCCATCAGTCTGGCTTTAACCTACCTCTGTCTCTTGAGTAACGGATTAAAGACTTTGCCACAAGTTTAAAGTTCTCTCTAGTGTGGTCTAAAATTATGTAATTCACTTACAAGATTTATTGGAAGATAGTTTTACCTTTAAGTAAGTAATCAGTTGGTATTTTCAGTTCATCTAATGTGTCATCTGCCAGCAAACTACGTCTGAGGATATGCCTTAGTAAAACTTCATGTCAGCAGCCAGGCGGTGGTGGCCCATGCCTTTAATCCCAGCACTTGGGAGGCAGAGGCAGGCGGATTTCTGAGTTCGAGGCCAGCCTGGTCTACAAAGTGAGTTCCAGGACAGCCAGGACTACACAGAGAAATCCTGTCTCGAAAAAACCTAAAAAAACAAAAACAAAAAACAAACAAGCAAAAAAAACCTTCATGTCAGCTAGAGAGTAACTCATCACAGCTTAACTGAGGATAGTTTGACCGTTATAGCATTCTTTTGGACCCCTCTGATGGGAAGTACTTTTTTAAGATAAGGTTTCTTTGTGTACTCTTGGCTGTCCTGGAACTTAATCTGTAGACCAGGCTGGCCTAGAACTTGAACTCTATGAAGATCTACCTGCTTCTGCCTCTCAAGTGCTGGGATTAAAGGAAAGTGCCCAGGCTGGAAAGATGGCTCAGCAGTTTAAGAACACTGGCTGTTCTTTCAGGGTACCTGAGTTCAATTCCCAGCATCCACATGGCAGCTCATAACTGTCTTTAACTTCTAATCCAGGGAATCTGACAACCTCATTCAGACATAATACAAGCAAAACACTGATGTACATTTAAAAAAAAAAAAAAAAAAGATGTACACCACCACTACCCAGCCTGAGTTATGCTTTTTAAAGGGCACAATGTAGGCAATAGGCCCACTCTGTTTTTTATTTGTTTTTTTGTTTGTTTAATGTGTATAGGTATTTTGCCTTCATGTTTGTCTGCTTCAAAAGTGTGCAGTATCACAGTATCCACAGAGGCCAGAAGAGGGTATCCAGTCTGGAATTACAGATGATTGTGAACTACCATGTGAACCCAGGAACTCTTTAAAAAAAAAAAAATCTTTAAAAAAAGATTTTATTTTTTTATTTTATGTATATGATGAGTACACTGTTGCTGTCTTCAGACACACCAGAAGGAGGGGATTGGATCCCATTACAGATGATTGTGAGCCACTATGTGGTTGCTGGGAATTGAACTCAAGACCTTTGTCTGACTGCTCTTAACCACTGAGCCATCTCTCCACCCCACATTTTTGTTGTTTTGTTTTTTTCTTTTGTGAGGCAGGGTTTCTCTATGTAGCACTAGCTGTCCTAGAACTAAATTTGTAGACCAGGCTGGCCTCAGAATCTGTCCTATACCCACTCTTGAGTAGTAGATGGTAGAGTATTAGCAGTGGAGGAGGATCAATACTTGTGTGTGTTTTGTGTGTGTGTGTATCACTCCCCTCCTGTATTCCTAGCAGAGTGTTGGGAGACTGATATGTTTTAAAGCATACACCAGATGTCATTTTATTTACGAATACTTCAGTGTGTGTCTGAGATACTTAAACATATTTCTTAGCACTTTTTATGAATATAGTAATCTCATAAACGTTGTGAGCCACTACCTAAACCTTTGTGTAGAGTAAATACTTTGTATTTATTTAAGGTGGACTATTTTATATAAGGAGCAGGAAAAAAATCTCAGCATTACAAACTTTTCTTTTTGAAACAGGATCTAATTGGAACTCACTATATATATCAGGCTAACCTCAAACTCAAAGATCTACCTGCTTCTGCCTCCCAAATATGAGATTAAGGGTGTGTACCATACCACTGGTATTAAACTCACTTTCAAAGTCAGTAAGTGGACATTTTTGGTAACTCTGTTACAGTGCTGGGGATTGACCCCAGAGCCAGCCAAGCACTGTGCTGTATTTCTGACCCTCATTTTACCTTTCCTTTGGAATTTTGAGATAGGGTCTCAATAAATTCCCTGACCCAGCTGTTACTCTACACTTTTTTGGTTTTTCGAGACAGGGTTTCTCTATGTAGCCATGGCTGTCCTGGAACTCATTCTGTAGACCAGGCTGGCCTCGAACTCAGAAGTCCGCCTGCCTCTACCTCCCAAGTGCTGGAATTAAAGGCGTGTGCTACCACTGCCCTGCTTACTCTACACTTTCTTTTCCCCTCCTATCCCCTCCTCTTCTCTTTTCCTAGACAGGAGTTCTCTGCGCAGTTCTGGTTTTCCTAGAACTTCTCTGTAGACCAAGCTGGTTTTGAACTTAGAGATCCACCTGCTTCTTCTTCTT